GGGCCAGGGTGTGTCTTGGATACACAAATGGGTGTGTGACCAGAGAAGTATGAGATCGAGAAGCATGATGGCACCTCATTACCTGCTTAATATTTTGCAACCCTTATGCACACACCAATATGATCCTGGCCTGGTTTTATAACCTACAAGTTTTTAATTGATAGGTATATTTTAATTGAACCACTTGTACAGCAATAAAGTTTATCAAATAACAATGGGAATGGGAGGTCCCAAAGCATGGCAGAATCGCTCGGGAGACTTCTGGGAACATAAAGGGACTTCTTGAGCAAAACAATTGTTCTTGGGTGAGGACAAGGGTGCTTCCAAATACAAAGCATGACATTTTATGAAAATAAGTGTCCTGGTTTTTTCCTTTGTGTTGTTTAGTCGTTTAGTCGTGTCTGACTCTTCGTGACCCCATGGACCAGAGCACGCCAGGCCCTCCTGTCTTTCACTGCCTCCCAGAGTTTGGTCAAAGTCATGTTGGTCGCTTCGATGACACTGTCCAACCACCTCATCCTCTGCTGTCCCCTTCTCCTCTTGCCCTCACACTTTCCCAACCTCAGGGTCTTTTCCAGGGAGTCTTCTCTTCTCATGAGATGGCCAAAGTACTGGAGCCTCAGTTTCAGGATCTGTCCTTCCAGCGAGCACTCAGGGTTGATTTCCTTTAGAATGGATATGTTTGTTCTCCTTGCAGTCCAGGGGACTCTCAAGAGCCTCCTCCAGCACCACAATTCAAAGGCATCAATTCTTTGGCGGTCTGCTTTCTTTATGATCCAGCTCTCTCCTCCATTACATCACGACTGGAAAAACCATAGCTTTGACTATGCAGACCTTTGTTTGCAAGGCGATGTCTCTGCTTTTAAAGATGCTGTTGAGGTTTGTCATTGCTTTCCTCCCAAGAAGCAGGTGTCTTTTAATTTTGTGGCTGCTGTCCCCATCTGCAGTGATCATGGAGCCCAAAAAGTAAAATCTGTCACTACCTCCATATCCTCCCCTTCTATTTGCCAGGACGTGATGGGACCAGTGGCCATGATCTTAGTTTTTTTGATGTTGAGCTTCAGACCATTTTTTGCGCTCTCCTCTTTCACCCTCATTACATGGTTCCTTAATTCCTCCTCACTTTCTGCCATCAGAGTGGTATCATCTGCATATCTGAGGTTGTTGATATTTCTTCCGGCAATCTTAATGCCGGCTTGGGATTCATCTAGTCCAGCCTTTCGCATGATATATTCTGCATATAACTTAAATAAGGCAGGGAGACAATATACAGCCTTGTCATACTCATTTCCCAATTTTGAACCAATCAGTTGTTCCATATCCAGTTCTAACTGTTGCTTCCTGTCCCACATATAGATTTCTAAGGAGGTAGATAAGGTGGTCAAGCACTTCCATTTCTTTAAGAACTTGCCATAGTGGTCGACACAGTCAAAGGCTTTTGCATAGTCAATGAAGCAGAAGTAGATGTTTTTCTGGAACTCTGGCTTTCTCCATAAACCAACGCATGTTAGCAATTTGGTCTCTAGTTCCTCTTCCCCTTTGAAATCCAACTTGCACTTCTGGGAGTTCTCAGTCCACATACTACTGAAGCCTACCTTGGAGGATTTTGAGCATAACCTTGCTAGCGTGGGAAATGAGTGCAATTGTACGGTAGTTGGAGCATTCTTTGGCACTGCCCTTCTTTGGGATTGGTATGTAGACTGATCTTTTCCTTTGCAATGGTATGTAAATATCCCATCTGTTGAGGATGCTCCCAGATTTCTTGCATTGATGAGGGAATTCTAATGACTGAAACATACTGATACAACCATCTGATTGAAAATGTATGGTTTTATGACTCACAAAACATTGCAGTCTATTGCCTTCATTGTTCTAAAATTGTTCAAACAGCAATGTAGCTCCCATGATTTTTCAGCAGTTAATTTTTCCAGACGTAACTAAAACAGAAACGGGGAAATACATTCTTCAGAAAGAGAGTATTGAGTACAACCCTAAACGGAGGTGGGTCACAGGCTCAAATATGACTAAAAATATGAAATAATATAATACCCTCATAGCACCTTAAGAAGCTCTCCAACTGGTACTGGAGGTAGTTAACATATACATACACAGAATACTAATGTGTATACACTATACTGTAGATAGGAGAGGATGTCCTCTTCCATCCCATGTGTCTGTAGAAATAGACTGTAAACCACAAAAGCTCACACTGAAGCTATTTCCCATGTATGTATGGCAGCCATACACTACCAATGTGGACTAATGTGGCTGCCACGAAGTAGCCACATCAGTCCATACAAGTATATCACACAAAAACACTGTAGCACCTTGAAGACTAACTGCTATATTTTAATGTGAGTTTTTGTGGGTCAGGATGACAGCTTAGTAAAATACAGCAGCTAGTCCTTAAGGTGCAACCTCGTTTTTACCAACTTTGTTTCTGAATTGGACTCCAATACATTGACACTTTTGGATGCAATAGACATGTTAGATAAAGGGGTGGGGAATCACTATACTGTACTCCTGTGGTGATAAAAATTCGATTAAATAACTCTCCAGACTAGGTGCCCGTTGCTTTTGGTGCACACGGCAGCTACTCAGCTGGAAATCAGAGAATTAAACGTTGCATAGATTTGCTTTAAAAATCTTTAAAAAGGAAAGGCTTCTTTTGGACAGCCACTTATCATATTATTCTCTGTCCTTGCACCCAGACCTTGGCGCTCCCTCCCATTGAAGGCCAGGCTTTGCTCGCCTTCCTCAAGCAGGCAAAATACCTTTCTCTTCAGGCAAGCTCTGCCTGAGTGGGATTTTTTGCCAGGCTTTGCTCGCCTTCCTCAAGCAGGCGAAATACCTTTCTCTTCAGGCAAGCTTTGCCTGAGTGGGATTTTTTAAAAGGAATGCTGCGCCTTGTTGCTTTTAAAAGTGTTTTTACTATTGATTTTATTTACTGTTTTCAATAGTATAATATTTAATTATTTTAAAATATCTGCATACTTTCTGTTTTAAGCTTTTAAATAGTGTCTTAATGCTGTCAGCTGTCTTGGGTCTTTTTTTAAAAAAAGAGAAAGGTAGGGTAAAAATTTTTTTAGTATATTAAATTAAAAGTAAATTATCTTCCTATCTCTTTTAAACTGGACAAAAAGCAGACAGTCCAGCGGGGAAAATCTTCCCGCTCCCATTTCTGGCATGAGATACCCAAGGGCAGCGAGGCCGGCCTTGACTAGCTTTTTTCAGGGTGAAAGGCTGAACCAAAGCAAGGAAACGTTCTCTCAACCTGCCCCTCACTTCCTGGCAAAGCTTGCCATGAATTACAGATTTGTGGCGGCGGTGGGGGTTGAGGACGGAGCCCGCCAGGTGGTGGTGGTCGTTTGGGAACCGGAACTCTCTGCTGTGAACGATGCGGACTGAGAAGGGAGGCAAAGGGAAAGCTGCTTCCGCCGGAAGTAAGGCTCTGCCGGTGTCGCCCTAGGCGGAAGCAGGCCGCGCGGGAGGTGGAGGAGAAGGAGGCGGCGTGCTGGTGACCCGGAGCCGGCGGTGACCATGGCGACCCTGCTGCTGGGAGATCTCTGTGCCGAAGCGCCCCTGGAGAACCGCATCTTCTGCTCGGTGCTGCTCTTCTCCTGGGCCGTCTACTTGTGGGAGGCGTTTCTCGCTTGGCGGCAGGTCCGTCCCGTCCCGTCCCGTCCCTCCCCGCCTGGGCAGCCCTTGAGGCGGCCCCGGTCTCGCTTACCTGCCGCTGCCGCTGGGCGTTTCTGTCAGCCGGGTTGGGGCCCTTGGTGGGACCCCCCCCCCGCTGCCGGGGGGGGTTTGGCAGGCCGGGCCGGGGGGCGGGGGGGTTTTTTT